CAATAGTGGCCAGCGCCCTTTGCTCCTCAGCGTGATCACTGACAGAGCGAGCCAGGTCCAGGTGACACCGCTGGTGCTGAAAAATACACGCAACACTTTACATGCCTCCTTAACATCCTTGTAGGATTTCAATGTGAGTCTGTATGCTGTCCCCTATCTACCCATTTTGAGGTTTAATGCCCACAAGCATTTCGAATAAACCAGACCAATCTACTCACTTTTAAAGCAGCCTCAATGTTTCCCATCTCCGCGTAGCACTCTCCTATCTTACGGTTAGCCACAGCTCGTCCGATCACATCGTTTAGCACCTCAGAGAGCGCCAACTCCTGCTGGTGCTCCCTAATGGCAGCCTCATAATCACCTGTGATACGATAAGGATCAGACAGGACAAAGCTATAAAAAAAATACATGTAGAAGACACTATTACACTTTCAAAATAAGAGGAAAAAGTAAAAAGTAGTAATCAAAAGAACAATACTGGGATTATGCAACACAAAGAAGGAATTTACATAGAGTCCAAATACAGTTGGTATGGTGACAAATAGGGGAAGAAATAGGAAAGTGCTTTGAGGACAGCTGGACTGATTTAATAGCTGTAGTTACTCCACATGGAGAGGTGTTTAAATCCATAAGGAGGCAACATCAGAAGAAAAAGGAAAAGACAGTGGCGTGTAGGTCTGAACAGCTTCAACATTAGAGATTATGCTTCTAAGCTGCTGACTGAAAACTACTTAAAACTCAACAGTATTGGGCTTTATTATGTAAAGTGATTGTGAATAAATAGTTTAAAAGCTAGGAGTTGTGTTTACTTACATCACCTCTGTCACTATATTTCCCAGAATGGTGAGTAACTGTATAATCTGCATGATCTGTGTCATGCCCATATCCCTGTGTTGTATAAGATAAATGCCTTCTGCACAGATATCATATTACTGACACATTTCTCCGTCAGACAGTAAATTCAATATAACAATCACACATTAAGACGACCCTGTGCTATATGACTTACCATTTCTGGACAGCAGCTCTCCTAGCTGATTGCAGATGTTGCCCTCCTCTTTTAAGTTGTTGCTGTTCTGCGCTTTGCTCTTCGCTTTCTGCAGCTCTGCAGAGTAATCTCACACACACACACACACACACACACACACACACACACACACACACACACACAACACACACACACACAGCAGTGTAAACAATCGAAACAGAGGAGGGGGGTTACAAACGCCTTTTCAGCTCACAAACACCGTGCAAGTAAATCGACACTTACGTTTTATCTCCCGTGAAGAGCTCATCTTGATTCAGGTCAAAGCACTGAGAGCTAACAGCTAAACTTACAGCTGGTAGTAAAACAACGTAGCGCCTGCAGTTAGCTCAGCGCTAGCTCAACGGAAACCAACTGCCACATCATAAATGAACAAAACAAACCAGACTTTCTCACTTAATGTTCACTGATTCACTTGTTTCCTTGTTCGTTAATGCTCCTGCTGTCATTTAAGCCTCCGATCGTGTTCGATGTCTCATCAAACAGCGCTACATTATAAACATGTCAGTAAACATCTTCTTGCTGTAGCTATCGGTCCTCAGTCAACTTTACAAAGCCCCGCCACTACTGCGTGAGCCAATGACTTCACTGCAGTGTAAAGGGCATTTTATGCCCCTAATCACAACTTGTCAGGCACCTATCCCTCCTCGATCACTCGGGTTTAAAGGTCGTGTATCCGACCTTGCCCTCAACCCTTATCATCTGCTTTAACCTAGCACTTAAACATAACGCATTTGATTTGTTGACGTTTCTGTGGACGGTGTATAACCTGAGTACGGAGCGTGCCTGTCTGTCTGACAGACAAAGTTCGGGCAAAATTAAACCATGAAGTTATGCCAGCAGTTCATTGGCTAACGCGGGGGCGTGACGTAGTTCCACTAAGAGACTGGAGGGAGCAGCAGAGGGGCAGGAGCAGCAGCAGGGGCAGCACAGGGAAAGCAGAAGCAGCAGAGGAGCAGCTTCTTTCTTTAAAAGTTTGAAATCCCACAGATAGAGCTATAGTACTGCACTGACAGAAGTAGTAGTTCCTGATGCCTGGTCTGACTCTACTGTAAGTGGGCCAAGTCAAGTCAGTCAGGTACCAAGGTAAAAGAGGTAAGACTCCCTTTAATCCCTGAGCCTGTTTTGAAGAGTCACATCTAAAGCCCATGTCACACTGAATGATTTCTGTTTTATTTATTAAAGAAGAAGCAACAGGTGAATAAGGTAAAACATTTAACTGATAGATATCATCACCATTAAACTCCCCCAGTTGATTGCTTACATTAACAATTTTTCTTAACTTTTATGTGTAAATTATGCAATTACAGTCATTATCTAATGAAAAATGTGCTAATTTGCTCCGTTTACCCCTTCAGAATATTGTTAGGAATAAAACTGTAAGGTTTTGGTGTATGTACGTGCTGCTGAAGTGGAAAGTTCTGGCCCAGAGTGAAAGAAAATACTCATCTTGAGAAAACAGCCTTTAAAGATCAGTCCCTCCAGAAAAACGCGATTATGCGATTGCATAATTCAATGCATAATCAGCCAAAGTCTGTATATTTATGTGGGGGCAGCATTTTTTCAAATACGCTGCACTTAAATTACATAAATAAATAAATAAATAAATAAATTGCCGATTTCCGTGCAAAATACGCGGGGCTTGCATGATTTCATAATCCACGCATTTTCGTTGCAAAAAAGTCACATATATCTTAGCAGAAAGTTGAAAAATGTTGTGTTTACTTCACACAAGAGCAGCTGTTTTCCCTTGTTGCCATGGGAATGTTATGAAGTGACGTAATTACGCGACGTGCCGCATGTTGTGTAATGTAAAATTCAGTACATTTAGCTAGACACTACAGGTTAATAGGGTAAAACATTTTAACTAATAGATATATATATCACAGCACAATCTAATGCTGGCTTTTGGTGAAATCTACAGACTCAAATAGACAAAGTAAAATAAACCCCTAAATGTGTGTTTTGGTTGTTTTCTTTCCAGGAGTCTGATAGATAGATAGAAATAAAGAATAAAAGAATAAAAACAATAAGTTAACATGTAAGAAAATAAGAATATATGTGTTATAAAAAGCAAAATGGCCCACAATGTTTTTGCCTGTAGAATATAGCCTTAAAAGTTCAAGTTAAAAAATACTGAGAGGTAATACTTGGGAGCCATTCTTTCCAGGAAAAATTAAAAAAACCTTAAAGAATTTGAATTTTCACACCTAGCATTAAACCACTCCAGTAGCTGCCAGCAGTTCCTCAAACAACTCTGATTGGCAAGAATACAAGCACAAAGCTTGAAGCCTGCAAATATGGATTCTTGGTGATCTTGTAATTGCATAATCTCACGAATCCAGCTGCCTCGCAAGGTGGTGAAATGTCAAAAGATAAGTAAATATTACTCTTGTGCCGAAATTATAGTGTGCAGACATATTTAAGTTTGTTGTATGTTTAGTTTAAACAAATAAATATTGGCCGATGTGTCGTTCTAAGATGATTTCCCTCTCGGCCAGAGAGTAACTGCAACTAGTCTGATTATATGGTTTCCCCTGCCAAGTAGTGATGACAGCATGCTCTCTTTTCACACCCTGTAAAGCTGTGATGCCACAAAAAGTCACGACTGCAAAAGACTACACCTGTCGAACAGTCTTTTATGTTTCATCCCAAAGAGGCCACTGCATCAAAAAATCCAAATTCAGTTGGGCTCTAATGATAACTGTGACTCAAAATTATGATCATACAATATAATGAGTACTGTAGTCGTAAGTCATAATTCAGTTGTCATGCCTATGATTAGGGCTGTGTATTAGCAAAGATTTGGCCAACAGGTATCACGATACAGGGGTCACGAGTCAATATATTGGGATATATTGTGATACTGTAAGCAAGGCAATATATTGCAGTTTAAAAAAAGTTTACATACAGTATATGCGACCAGAACAGTGGGATCTGCCTTTGTATCACAGTTCCTGTAACATTACATTTACCTTTACAACACTTTTACTCCACATACATTTACTGCTATACAGCACTGCTATCTAGCAGGTGGGGGGGTTTAAACACAAAAATCGATACATCGTTTTTTAAGAAATATCACAAAACAAAATATGGCGATACATTATTTTTCGATATTTTGTTACACCCCTTCTTACGAGATACACATTCTCTAGCATGGCTCTAATGTGACTCTGGAATTATTCCTGAACACAACTGTAGAGGGCTCCCTGTAATCCAATAACTAAAAGATGAGTGTATAAATCAGAAATATTATAACGAGAGGACATTCGCCCAATTGTTTGTTCTTTGTGCACTTGGTAGCTGTTACATTTGCCCGCTCAGCAGGCTGCTTTAAAGAAGGATCCACAAATCTGAAACACAAACAATGCCTAACATTACCTACACCAATTTTCAGATTGACGTCCATGGAGCTAACCCAAATTCATGATCTTATAATCCAACTGTTCAGTCTGCTAAAAAAAAATGGCTGACACGTGGCCTGGATGGCGGTGATGTCAGCGCTGAGACGTTCTTTGATTGGCTCACACAGATGGACGGCATGCCCTGACAGACAAATAGTGGTGCAGCCTCTAGTGAGTTGCTAAATAAATAAAAAAACACACCCTTTATTGATCCTCTCAGGTTTTTTTTTTTGAAGCAGATTGGTAAGTGTGTGGTGTTCGGACTGTCTGTTGGGACCAAATGCATGTAGTATTTTTATCATCTGACAAAACAGTTGCTTTATTGGCTTAATATTCTATTTATATATCCTATAGATTTGTAGGTCTCTTGTTTAAAAACTCAGCTGGCCTTATTTCTGATGGATTTGCAAACATATCAAACTGTGTAATCATTTTTTGGAGCATCCAAAAATATTCACAAATCTGAGTCCCCTGAGAAGAAACAGAGAAAAACACCACTGCAGGCAGCGAGAAAATAACTCCTCAATTATCAAACCCTACATTCGCTGTCTGTGTTTACATTAGGTAAAACTAAACTCTTGCAAACAACCAACAAGCAGAAGAAAAAAATGCAGATTTAAGCTTGACATTTTTTTTGACAAATAAGACTGCAGCATCAGAAGGAGCTGAGACACCTTTTGTATCAGACTCAGAGCTTCCACTCAGCCTTTGTGAGTCTGTATCTCTAAACCGTTGACCTTACAAATGAGCACGCTGCATCATTGTGAGAATTGGTGTTTCTGGGCGGTGCAAAGTGGAGTAGAGCACATCAGAGTGCAGGATATCTGAGCACAGCAGAGCACAGAGAGGCAGGCACATCCGCCGCTGGAGGGATCAAATCTGTACCATCTGACGCTCAAGGATTTATGGGTTTAGTCAAAATTGCTTTTCCCACTGTGGAGATTAAGCACCGTAGGATGTTTTCCACTCAGGCCGTAGAATAGCCCAGTGTAGCTGCTGCTGCTGCTGCTGCTGCTGTTTTTCCTCCCTCTTATCGGCTCCGGCACTGGAGAAAGGAATGTCTCAGGAAGGCAGAGTGCTACAAACCCTGGAGGGGAGCAGATTCTGACTGACAGGAGAGGTCCGTCCTCTGGGGAATGTGAACCATGCAGGTGGATGCTGTTCTTGTGCTCTTCTGTGTTTGGCTTGCGGGTACAGCTGGGAAGATGGCCCAGTCGAGGGGTCACAAGCTGGAGACCTACAAACAGAGCAGGTAATGGCAAATGTGTGAAAGACAAACACTGAAGTGCATGCTTTTATTGTCGTAACAGTTTTAAATTAAGCTTTTTAATGCAAAGTCTGCATCTTATTTTTTAAAGCTTCATTATGTTCTTTTAGTTGTTTATTTTTTTTTAGGTTTACTCGATGTTGTCCAGTGTTTCCTGTGTCACCTGAGCTGCTCCCTCCCCCTCTGAAAACAGACTTATTCAGACAGCAGATTGGAGAGCATAGAGAGAGGGAGACCTAAATCCCCACATCTATTTATGTACTACTGGTGAATGCTGTGTTCTCTTGCCCCACAACTGCTGCAGGCCAGTTAATGACTGTTTTACCTACTGGCAGCGGTTGTAGTCAATGTCACTTTCATGTGATTATTTAGGCTAATTGCTGCCTTGTTAATGCGTCCATTGGATTAAATGTTTTAGTCGGAACTGAACTAGATCAATTGTCCTCGATTCTACGTATTATTGATTGAATTAAGTGTGACATTACAAGTGTATTTGTTTGTTTAGTAGAATATTGATGTTGATTGATGTTTTAAGAAATGTGACATTAGAATACTTTTAACTTCAGTTTGAACAAAGAACTTAGCACTGTTGTTTTTTTTATACTACGTTAGAAATGCTGATTAGTATATTATAATATAGTAATAACAATAATATTTGAGTTAATTTGGAGCACATAATGAAGTGTTGGATCTCTTAAAATTGTCAAAATACTCTCAGGTATTTGAATGATTACATGAACAGCAAATTACAGAAGGAATAACATTTTGAGAGCCTGATATTTAATACCAAATATATTTAAGTTCCAAGAGCCAAGACACAGTTACTATGCCTTTTTTAGTCCGACCAACAGCATATTCAGTTTATTGTCATATAAGACAAAGACAACCAGCAAATATTTACTTTTAAGAAGATGGAACCAGTAAATTTGTCCTATTATTTACTTTAAAATACTTATATATTAAAGTTGCAGATTAATTTTCTGTCAATTTCAACTAATCATTTTAGCTCTAATAAGAATATTACATGTTATATCACTGCTGTTAAGTGCAGGGAACAGTATGTGGAAGAATCTTACCTTTATACTACAAAATAAGCAATACACATCTTTGACTTGCATTAGAAATGCAAATTGGATCATTATGTCAGTGAGTCAGATCCATATGGAGCACATATTGAAGCATAAAAACACTGCTGCAAGGCATTTAAAAGAGCAGCCACATTGTCAGAATTCATCTAAATATGAGAGCTTGATCATTCTGGTTTGTCCAAAATGAATTTTACTCTTTCAGATGGCTTTGAACACCTGTTGTGAGCAACATCAGATCTGTCATTATTGTCTTGATGTATCAGTTTATTATTAAGTCAATAAAATGTCAGAAAAGTGTGACAAATGCGCGTCACATGTTCCTAAAGCCCAAGCTGACATCTTCAGATGTCTCATTTTATCCGACCATCAGTCCAAAATGTGAAGATATTCAATTTAAAAGGCAAAGAAAAAGCAGCAAATCCAAACGGGTGAGAAGATGGAACCAGCAAATGTAAAAATATGACTTATAAATAGTTGCTGATTGGGGCGACTTGGTAGCTCACCTGGAGTTCGCGCTCCACGTAAGAGTCCTTACCACAGGAGCCTGGGCTCAATTCCAACCTGCAGCCCTTTGTGGCATGTCATCCCCCCTCTCTCTCCTCCCTTTCCTGTAACTCTTCAACAGCTAGTGTCCAATAAAGGCTATAAAAGCCCAAAAAATAATGAAAAGACGAAAAAGAAAACAGTTGCTGATTAATTATGTCAACTGACTAATCTTTACAAAGTCAACACCTTTAGATGACTCTGGACACATCAGCCGAGTGAGCAGAGGAACAACGCATCCAAATCAAGACGTCACCCAAATTAAAACAGGAACATTGCTTTAAATTGATCCTTGACAAATAAGGAGAAAAACACAAGTTCCCAGCATTTATATCGACAAATACAACTATCAGCGCAGAGTTCAACTATTAGCCCGAGGCAGAAACTGTCTTTGCATTAATCTCTGGTACAGATGATAAGATTTTCCCAAGCAGGCAAAGTACAGCGCTGTACGCCTCATAATGCTATCAGCGTTGAATGATTTGCATCCATTTAATATATTCTACAAACCCTATCAAATCATAATCCCTCTGCCTTTAGATACTCTATCACTTTTCATGCTATAACTGTTGTTATTTATAGATCAGAGGAGATGTCAGCTCGCTATTAAGATGCTCATCTATTTGAGGGAAATTAAATGTGTCTGATATCAACTGGTTCTTATATGTGTCCAAGCGCAGGACTAGGCAGGAGTGGGCTCATTCGAGGGGCATTTGTTTTAAACAGTGCATGATTAAAGCTGTCTTTTTAAATCTAAACAATCCTCCATGAAATTACAGTCATTTAAAGTGATCATCTCGGGCCTAAGGTGATTAAGATGATCATTAAGTAAAAGAGGAGCACAATAGTAATCATCTGTGGAAAATCTTCAAAAGACAAGAAAGCACAAGTGGCTCAGAGCTGCGCTGTAATCTCTAAACACCAGCGTCGCCTTGTTATCAAATCTTCCACCGTTGTTTTTTTCCCTAACTAGTTAAAAGTCCTCTCACATCAGTCTTCTCTCTGCTGACACACAGTCTGAGAATACAAATCAAATGTAAATCTCTCTCCTTCCTCTTTTAGCAGGGGGGGAAATCTCAATGTACTCATGCAGAAGTCGAACTCTTCTCCTCCCTGTTTCTCATCCCTCCACTCCTCCTCTCTTGAGTGTGAAATTGCAGAGGCGGCTGGATGCTGCTGGCGTGGGTTGTGGGAGTTTTGACTATATTACTTAGATGTTTTTTCACTCGCTGCCTTGAGGAGGAAGAGCGGTGGGGGGATTTGTGTGGGACAGCAGAGTCCCACACGAGAAAACATCTGAGGAGAAAACCATCATTAGGTCTGAAGGAGGATTTTGAAGCTGGTCGTTGGCTTTTAAGTTAGAAAACACATTTTTGATTATAAAATTGAATCACTCATGCTTGCTTTTTTCTGATTTCCCTCTTTTGCTTTTTCAAAATACCCCATAATTATAAAGCATACAAACTGTAAAAGAAGCTCATCTAAATTTGAAGCACCCCACAGTATTATGGGTGCATACTGCTGTATAAAGCCAAAATGCAGTAATTATCTAGCAATGTAGTCAGTCATAAAGTTGGACCAGAATCTGACTTGATGGTTTTTATTTACCATCTAACTTGTTTGATAAAATAGAAATGAATCATTTCAATAAATTAAATGTGCAGTTACAATAAAACCCCTAGAAACCAAAACAAATGGTCAACAATGCATCTAAAGCAAGAGAGCCAAATCAAATTATAAATATATATAAACAATTAATAGATTAATTTTCTCACCAAGACGTCAGAAAATTCTGAAAAGGTTATTCCCACAGTCCGACGTCTGGAAATGTCTTGTTTTGTCCGACCAGCAGTTCAAAACCCAAAGATATTCAGTCCACTGTCACAGAAACAGCATCAAATCGTAATGAGCAATTTTTTTTTTTTTTTTGCTGAAGGAAATAACTAATTGGATTATCAAAATAGTTGCAGATCTTACTTTTGATCTTACTAAAGCATACAAACTGTAAAAGAAACCCCACAGTATCATGGGTGCTGTACAAAGCCAAAATGCACTAGCAACATATTTATTCAAGAATCTGACTTTCTTTATACCGTACCTGTGTAATTTCAATGAAAACATAATATTAAATGTACAGTTACAACAAAACACAGCTAAAAACAAACCAAATTCACTACACAGCCAAACAGAGAGCCGAATTACGCTAGCTGGTGACTAGCCTTGGCTAAAGCTACATGTAGGCTACTTACGTTTGCCCCTAACTATTCCCTGCAAATTATATACATTTTGATAAACTAAGATCTTGGTAATTTAGTTTGTTAACCCTAGGTCAGCAGCTAAAGCCGGTCATGGGGAATAAAAAAACGCTAAAACCTCCTGCTAAAAGAGTAAATAGCCCAGCTTAGCAGCGCAACTGCAATGTTAGCTTTTGACTCTAGTGTGATTTTCTTTTTTTGTCTAATTCACAATTTCAGTTACTTTTAAATCACATCAAATGTATTAAATTGTGAATACATTTTTATATTAATTTCTATTGCTAACAAATGATCAATGGAAATAGCATTGGGCTGGCCTGTGCAGACAGGCGGCGGCCTGCTGTGTGGTGCAGGCGGGCAGAGAACGGGGATTGGAGAGGCATTTCTGCCAAGAGGATTAGGAACCAGCTGCTGGATGGATGCAGACCAGTAGCACCCATCACCCCTCAGAACACTGCAGCTAGCACCCAGAGAAACCCTCTTCTTACTGTTTCATTTTCCTCTTGTTGTAATTTTCCTGTTTTTGTGCAGTCCATTCATCTTACCCCCCCCCTCTCCATTCCTATGTGGTATTTCCTTAATGCATGTCTGTGGGATTTGGCACTGTCTGTCACAGCATGCTCTACTCTAATAATCCATTTTAGGGTTTTTGGAATTCTTTTTTTTTTTTCTCTCTCGCTCTGTCTGTCTGCTCGTGGCCTGAAAAGCCTGCTTAAAAGAATACAGAAATACAGAGGCAGCCCTCTTGAAAAGTGACACCAGAGAAGCGCCGCCTTCCTCCAAAAGCAGTGGAAGTGATGAGAAAAGGCAATTTTGCCGGAATTTGTGGATAAAAATGTGTGTGATGTAACAGCGCTCCTTAGTGAGAAGTGAGAAGCATCAAAACAAAACAAAAAAGGCTAAATTATTTCTATTTTTATTCTTACTCTGAACCCATGTAGATTTAGACTTGAGAATTACGTTCAAAATTAAAGATTTTGATTAATCTGCCAATGATTGTCTCAATTAACAGATTATTTTAGTCTATTAAATCTAAAGAAATATTGAACAATATAATTTCACAGAGCCCAAAGTGAGAACAAATGTTCTTAATTTATTATCATATATGACATACAAAAGCATAAAATTTGCACATTTGAAAAGATGTAACAAGCAAATGTTTGGTTTAAGAAATGATTAATACGATTATTTGTTTATCAAAATAGTTGCAGATTAATATTCTGTGGATTGACTTTAATTAATCTACTAATTATTGCAGCTCTGCATATATTAATGAAAAGCCTTGAAAGCTAAAAAGACAACTCGACTTTGAATGTTATTTTATTTTCATTCCCTAAATGAATATGTTGCATTTAAGAGGTAAAACAAAATAAATATAATTAAATTAATATAAATCATGTTGTGCCGCTGCCACCATATGTGACAGATGTTCTCATTTATTTATTTATTACTGTTGTTAACTATTAGGTTGCGAAGAGAGACCAGAATGGAGGGGGGTGGAGGTCACAAATCCGGAGGGTGAGATTTTATAAATCTTTAATTAAAACATGATCAAAGTAATCTTAATTCTTTTGGTAATTCATTTTGACATGAACACACTCAGTATCCCTGAAGGTCCGTTGTGACCGAATGTCTTTCTGTTTTTATTTCACAGCCCAATTTACAAACGAAGTCCAGACATGACAAAATCTCCGATGACAAAATCTGAGCAGCTCCTGAGAATAGACGACCACGATTTCACCATGAGGCCAGCGTTTGGAGGTCAGAAAATGAATGTTACTTCAGATTTAAGTTAAGTTTTAAAAGTGTTTTATCTATGTATATATGTATATATGATTGCATGATTGCAACTTAGTCAGGATGCATGCTCAGTCATCAAACGCAATTGGATAAGATCTGTGCGGTTGGTTTCATTGGTTTGGGACAAACAGTCCTATAAGCATTAAGCTCTCAGAGATCTTAATGACACCATCGATGCAAGCTGTGCTGGAGTTTCCAATTGCAGCTCAGTTCCTAACATCACAAGAGTGTTAAGACGTGTCTTTGGCATCACTGTATATTAGAGGGATTTAATGTCAGCTTTTTGGACTGTAGGATTATGCTGAGATAAAGGCACACAGGCTTTTGTTTTTACTAGAAGATTGTAATGGAATATATATTCATAATCGTTTTAGCTGTCTTTATCTTTTTATCTTTTTTCTCTCTCTTTTCATCTGTATTTTAAGGCAGACATCCACAAGCACGAGAGCTGTGTTTAACAAAAAAAAATCAGCCAAACACGTGCTGTTGTTTTTTTTTTTTTTTACTTCCAATCACACGACAATCTGCTGCAAGTGACCCTTGCAGATTCCTTTTTCTGTGTCCAATTTCCACCATCAAGCACATCTCAGCTGGATGTGGAAAACCGTGCTGGATTTCATCCACGGCTGCATCAACTTATTGTGACCTAATTGTATTTGTGTACTATTGGAGGATGACGACGCAGAGTAGAAAAGCTGAAATAGGTCAAAAGTAGAATCCCAGCCAGACTGACACAGCCGTTGCACAAACAGTTGCTCTGTATTCGTGTGATTCATGGTTGGTTTTGGAAACGTGATTTACAAAACAAAAAGGTTCAGGCTGACTCTGTAATGGTCCTGTTGAGTGTTGCACCCACTGTTGCATCCAAAATCATGCAGAAACACGCTCAGTAATGTTGAAAAATAACACTTCTGTTGTGGTTATAATTTCTAACATGAGTCCATTTTCTTTCAGGCCCTCCGATTCCTGTTGGAGTAGATGTTCAGGTTGAAAGTCTGGACACCATCTCCGAAGTGGATATGGTAAGTATGAAATAACTTCTTGGTTTTCTCAGTTTTGTAATTCAGGTTACAAGATAAAACACAGGTAGTGGAAAGTAACTAAGTACATTTACTTACAAGTAGTACCATTTTTGAGTATTTTATGCTACTTTTTACTTCTACTCCACTACATTTCAGGGGGAAATAATGTACTTTTTACTTTATTTCATTCATCTGACAGTTAGAGTTACTAAGATTTGTAAGATTTTACATTAAAAACATATGATGAGATTATAAAATACAATGTAATTTTACAGATTAAACCAGTGGTTCCTACTTATCTATCTTTTTGGCTTGTGAACAAAAAAATCCATTGTTTATGAGTGAGACGTTCCATCAAAGACACATTTCCTCTCTAAACTGCTCAGATGGTTTGAAACTTTCCAGTATTTCAAAAAACAGAAAAGGATTAAAGAAAAGTGTGAAAAACATTTGTGTATCAAAAATCATCTCACGACCACCCAGGTTTATGTTGTTGTCCTTAGAAGGGGCCTGACCCCTAGGTTGGGAACCACTGGACTAAACTACCTATTTGTATATAGAGTAGATAAAGTAGTTCCACCTCAAGCAATAAAATGCTTCTTACAAATGGATGAATCAGTATAAACAATCTAATAATGTCATATATAATAATACAGTGGTTCATACATTTGGTGGGCATCATTTTTTACAGATTCAGTGTTTTCTTCTCATTGTTCTATTGTTTGAGCTTTTAATGCAGGATATCAGAGACTGAAGGCTCTGTGTGTTCAGGCCTTCAAAGTATAGATCCTAAATAATTATCTAAACTAACAATTTAATTTAGAATTATTCACAGAAATGAACAAAATGTAGATATATAGGCCAACTATGTATATTCTTAAGTTTTCCCACGCCCCTTAAAATTATGAAAGGCCTCGCGACCTCCTGTGAAGATTTGGTGACCCCTAGTCGGCCACTGTAGTAATATATCAATCACATTTTACTGCACAACCACTTTTAAGTACATGTAGCTGATAGCTCACTCTCTATTCTTCTTACAGGACTTTACAATGACACTGTACCTGCGTCACTACTGGAAGGATGAGCGGCTGTCGTTCCCGAGCACCAACAACCAGAGCATGACCTTTGACAGCCGCCTGGTGAAGAAGATCTGGGTTCCTGACATGTTCTTTGTTCACTCCAAGCGCTCTTTTATCCACGACACCACAACTGATAATGTCATGTTGAGGGTTTACCCCGACGGCAACGTCCTTTACAGTCTCAGGTAGACATGTTCATTCTTCACTGTGTTCAAATGAAGAGTTTATTCTCCTGTACCATAAAAAATAATGTTAAAGATCACAATAAAAAGCTTTTTTTACATGATGCATTAAAAACTTAAGCAATTCCACATCCTCAAAAATAACACCAAAACACACCACATGAAAAGATGTCAGCAGTCATTAGAATTGCTAAAGGTCACTACTGATTTACTGATTTTCACAGCGGGTGATGCATTTTGTGGAATAACACTTCTGTATCATTTAGTAATTATAATCAGTGTAGCAGAGTTTGTTGAGTTAATCAGAGGATGCTGAATACTTGTGATTTTTGTCAATTCACTGCAGGGACTTTTTATTTAATCAGGCAAGTCATTTATGAACATATGACAGTGTGAAATTAGGCCACTTGATGGGAAATTGGGAGAGAAGAGGGGAAAAGTGAAACAAGAAGACAATACAACAAGAAACAAAACAAAAAAAGCTATGTAAAACACAGCGTTTTCCTTCTATTAGTTTATCATGGTAGAATATATACAAAACTTGAATTCCCCCCTGACCCTTGCTTTTACTTGAGGAAGTTGAATTACAGTATATGTTTCTCTTTGTGTCACTGCTGTTTCCCCCTGCAGAGTCACTGTTACTGCCATGTGTAACATGGACCTCAGCCGCTTCCCTCTGGACACCCAAACCTGCTCGCTGGAGATTGAGAGTTGTGAGTGGATTTATCAGGAATATGTTCAGCAGTGCTAACATGCTGATTCATCCATCGACTCATCCGTCCGTCCACTTTGTACCAGAGAAAAAAAAGATACCTTGATAACAAGTGCCCAGATATTGAATCAGTTAGGGTGTCCGTGGGGTCTAAGGTCTACAATGAAACAGAATTTTAGGCCTTAAAATGTCTTAAATATGATTTTGACAGGTCTTAAAAATGTATTGGATTCATGAAGTTGTATAAATTTTAGATAATTTTTTCAGTCATGATTTTACATGTGTTTTTGGAGAAAATGTGTTTTGATCACGCTGAAGCAACTACAAAACAACACTGACATCCTTCATATCCTTCGTACTTTCTTTGGCCAACTTTTCTTTTTTCATCATCAACCTGCCAAGCATTTCACTTCCATACAAAAAAAAATATTACATTTACTGACAATCAAACTGCTTTTTCATTTTAAATTTTGGACACTATAGGACGTTTCCTTTTGCACCCACCTCAGGCCAAAATGTGGAGCTTGCTCACCAGTTATCTCATGAAATCACAGACATATTACGCCACGAAGGGTTTTGAGTACATTCATGCTTCAAAGAGAATATATTGCCTTAATGTTCAGACCCTCTCCTCTAGCATCACCCCATTAGTTCCTCAACTAGTGAGGCTCTAGACTCAGAAAATCAGAGAGTGCAGTGGGCATTGTAGTCTCTAGGGACTGCTAGTGGTGCTTGTGTAGTCTTATCTTGTTAAATCTTGCACACAGTTTGCTCACATTAACATCCAGCATTCATACAGATGAACTTTCTTACTCCTACTTCCTTCTCCTCACAGATGCGTACACAGATGACGACCTGATGTTATACTGGAAGAAAGGCAACGAATCCCTGAACACAGACGACAGAATTTCTCTGTCCCAGTTCCTCATCCAGAAATTTCACACAACCACCAAGCTGGCTTTCTACAGCAGCACAGGTGCTGTAATCCACAACACGTTTAATATATACACAGTAAACTGAACTGCTTATGCAAATGGACAAATGTGTGCATCATGCGTGGAACAACTACATCACAATTGAATTATAACTTCAATGCATCTCATTTTACTTTATTCCAACTAAAGGATCAAGTCTTCCTTACATGAAATTGGTGTCCCTTGAATGTCACAGCAAGAAGACTGTGCTAATATTTAATCCTTACTGGGAAATGAAATAAATCAAGCTGCTGCCAACCACTTGTATGCTGCTGGAAAGCCACAGTGAAAGCTGTGCAGCCTTCTCATAACCACATGTCACTTTTTAGCTCAGAAGTGCAACCTAAAGCATAAAAAGGATTTTGTGTCCTATCTCTTCCTGCCACAATAGCTGGGAACCTCTGCTTCGAGTGTTTGTACGGTGCATCAGCAGCTGGTGCATAACAATGTGTGTGTAACGGTGATATTTCTTCTTCCCAGGCTGGTACAATCGTTTGTACATCCACTTCACCCTGCGGCGCCACATTTTCTTCTTCCTGCTGCAGACCTATTTCCCCGCTACTCTGATGGTCATGTTATCATGGGTGTCCTTCTGGATTGACCGCAGGGCCGTCCCCGCCAGGGTGCCACTAGGTACGAGTTTCCTTTTCAGGACACAGTCTTATCACAACTAGTTAAGTACAAAAAGATTATTAAGTTGGTTTATTTCTAAAAAAAACAGGTGGGGAAGCAGGGTATCATAGGGTATCAGTGTTTCCTAACCTATTGGGAAATAGTCTTGCCTGGCTCTGTCCAAAGCTGACAAAAAAAAAAACTTATCAGGCTCATTAATAAACACATTGTGTCTTATTACGTTGCTAAGCAACAAGCTGAGATTCCAGGAAGTTACTGGTCTCGTGCAAAGAAATAGTCCAGCACAAAACTAAATGCTGTTTTTACACTTCAGGTTTTAATGTGGATTAGACCAGTGGTTCCCAACCTGGGGTTGTAAGGTTACCAGAATTATTTACAAAAATTAAATTGATAAAATCCCAATAACACACCCAATTGGATAATCAAAACTCTGTCTAATCCAAATTGAAACATATTTTTGGTCCACATTTAAATTGATTAAGCTATTTATTACCTATTTAGTGCATATATGCGGGTAGGGGTTGGGGTTGGGGGGGCCTGACTTGTCTTGGACACAGGCAAGGGGGGCTTCAAGGAAAAAAGGTTGGGAACCACTGGATTAGACAAAGGAGATATACGTGAATGGACCTTCTTCACTTGGGCTTGCAGTGATAAATTCTACTTGTGATTTCACAAGAGATTAGAGAAAAATCGGAGAAATTAATTTCCTAGCAAAAATATGGCATGTTTTTGGGGTTTGTTTTCTATTTGTTAAACATCACATGACTCCGCACATTTTCTCTGTGACCCTTTCAGGGGTTCCCGACCCACAGGTTGGGAACTGGTGGCAGAAATAGTGAGTAGGGAGTCTGCTCTTACTGCACAAGTTCGGGATAATGGCTTTCATATATTTGCCCTGCTGACGTGTATAGAGGAAGACATATCAATAAGTTGGATGTATTTATTTCTTTGTTTTGCAGCTGAGACCGACCTCTGACCCCTAATATGCATTCAAATTTAACGGTACAAAGGGAACAAATATCAGTGTCTCATGTTGAGCCATTTCTATGCTATTTAGCATTTGGTGGTTTTAGCTTCCCAACCCAGTGATACAGTAAACAAAAGCTCTGATGTGACTAAACTGTTTATGTGTTTCACTCCAGGCATCACCACAGTGTTGACCATGTCCACCATCATCACCGGGGTCAACGCCTCCATGCCGCGGGTCTCCTACATCAAGGCAGTGGACATTTACCTCTGGGTCAGTTTTGTTTTTGTCTTCCTATCGGTGATAGAGTACGCGGCGGTCAACTACCTCTCCACCGTACAGGAGAGGAAAGAGAGGAAACTGAGGGAGAGAGTAAGTGATATTTTTTTCCCCATCGCCTGCAGTTAACCTATGACATTTTGTTCTTTTAATAATTCGTAGTGACAGACATTCAACATTGACAGTTTAACATTATCAAACCAGTGTCATAATCTATCTGCTTAAAAAAACAAAGTGCTTAAAAATTAAACACTTGGAAGCATTAAAGTATTGATGTTCGGGTTTCCCTTGACTGCAACAACATTGCCATTCCAAAGACAAGAGGTCCTCTTAGCAAAAACTACAGCTACAACATTTAGTCTGATTCTGGATTCTTTTTAACAGTAAACACGGCTTTATTCTTGAGTGATGAAATCATATTTCTGTTTACTCGGAGTAAATAATGAATGTGTCATTTTTTCTTTTTTTTTTTGCTCTTATGTTTGTCATAAATTATTCATTTGACTGTGAAACAAATGTGTCATATTTGATGCTGTTTCCCCCCCTGAATTTAACCCTCACTACATAGATTTGGAGCCGTTCATCATATCTTTCACAAGGATAGTGTGTACATGCAGCCCCAGTATGGTACGGGTGCAGGGTAAAAACAATAACTGTGCTATTCTAATTCTTAATCATTTAATTTTTTCTAATATAATTACTGCATTTATAAAAACTTGGGAGCCTGCAGATTCTGTTAAGACAGCCTCTTCTTTTCCTTCTTTCATTCTTTTTAAACACATCCGAATAGTCAATATTTATTATATTATAATAATATACAGGTGCCTCTATATGACCTACATAAGCAAACAGGAACATCAGTAAGATGTTGATGATGAGCTATTTTTATATGGATATTTCTTTATAGTTATCCTTAATGCCTGCCACGGGGTTGGATTCAGTCAGATTCCTCTAGAAATAAATAAAAAGAGGCGGTGGACACAACACTGCTATTATCCACAGAATCAACACAAACTAAAAGTTCCTTGTTGCCGCTTTAAATGGATTACCAAAAAGCTAAAATCAAAAACAAATTTACCATAAAGCTTATATAATTTTAAAGCTCTGATTAAAGCTTGGATTTAAATTTCCTTAATGTTAAATGTTCTACTGTTGTGGATAAAATTCTTGTCATTGCATCCTGTAATAGCTGCTTTCTCATTAAAAGTAAGAAAGGAGACAGATGCAGTCAACACATGATTGACCTGATTTTACATTGAAATATTTTACGCATTAAAATATTCTAAACTGGTAAAAACATGAATTAATAATGTATGTGCATTTCCAATAAACAGATAAATATTTTCTAAATTGGCTCACTTTAAGCTCTCGGGGCTGTGGAGAATTATTTCTGGGACTACATCTTGTGTACTATATTGCTATTCTTCATCTGCCAAATGCTGCAGCATATGGAGCCAGTTTGCCCACGTACCCCGGGGAACATTTCCAACACAAACATCCTTCTATAAATGTTTCATTCCAAAGTTATTTAAATGCCCTGAGTGTGCAGAAAAATAATAAACATTGAACAAACTAATGATTTATTCTTTCGTTTTAGTTTATTTTACATAAAGTTGCATTTACAATAAGCAGAAGTGTCAAAATGACTGCGTGTTTCCCTCTTACCTCTCCAGCTGCCGTGTACATGTGGCATTGGCAACCCTGATGAGATGATGATTGACCCCCAGATCACTGGCTATGGGTCTATGGATATCAACACCACAGGGAATTATGGAATGCCAGAGAATGGGGGCCGCCAGGAGCGAATGTTGGCCCAGGTGGCACTGAATGACCCGCAGATCGCAAGCCAGGTGAAGCCATCCAGAGGCTACGTGAACATTTGGATAGACACCCACGCCATAGACAAGTACTCGCGGGTTGTATTTCCCGGAGCGTACATCCTCTTTAACATCATCTACTGGTCCATCTACTCATAACCCGGGATGCAGAAGTAGATCCTCTGTGGGAGTCCAAGATGAGACTCCAGGAGCTTGGTTCATTTGTGACAGAGCAGGAAAATAACATTGCATTTGATGCTTTTCAGACACCGAAACTGCTCATAAGATGCATGGGGACCATTGACAGATTGGTGACCATTGCCTTCTTGACCCAGCCACTTAAAACTGAAGAGTTTAATGACAAACGGACAGTCTTCGTCGCTGGTTTTGTCACTCAATCAAGTCTATGTGGTTTGTTGTAACTGTAGTGCTGTTGATGAAGACGTTTGGATGTTGTTGTCGCCCCGAGGACTTATTGCTCAGAGAAATGCACAAACATGGACCGGTGTAATTGTGCAGTTTAACTCAGCTACATTTCAGTTCTCGATGCAGTGACTCTTTGGCCACATTTTCAAAACTGAAAATGTGAACTGAAAACGGATTTCTGACATTTCCAGCATATGGACAAATTCCTTCTCCTTTGCTTATGAACTAGAGTTGACAATCAATGACAAACAAAAAATATTTCAAGGAATAGTTCTGCCTATTTGCTTTCTGGTGGAAAGTTAAATGAGAAAATTGATGCCACTCTTAAATCTCCCTGTTAAATATAGAGCTACAGTCAGCAGCCAGTTATCTTAGCTTAGCAAATTTTTTTGTTTTTAGGCTTTGTACGGATTAAACAAACAAGATATAACATGTTAATTAGCGAGCTTTAGAGGTGCTGTTGCCAGATGCTATTACCTTCATACAGAGCAGATTAACTGTTTCAAGTCCTTGTGCTAAGCTAAGCTAACTTTCTCCTAGCTGTATATGGCTGTATGTGATGGACAGAGCTTCTGGGTCTATGAAGAGACAACGTGTGTTTTAAAGCTACATTCTACGTAAAGGCCAGCAGGGGGCAGCTCCATTGGCTGCAATAAAACACAGTAGATACCATGCAGTCTTATGGAGAAATTACCTGACTTCGCTCTTCACTTAAGCTCAGTAAACGGTTTTTCTAATGAGTTTATGGTCTCAGTCTCTAGTTTCAGATCTTCTTCCATATATGATGTTAATTTTGTAAATTATGGTCCAGTTTAGAGTAAAACAGACAATAAATCAGGGAATGCTTTAAGACGTGGCTAACTTGTCTCATTCTCAGTCCGTCCAGTGCACTGCATGAAACTCAGATCAGACTGTCACTTGGTACAGACATGAGAGTGGTATCAATGTTCTCATTTAAATCTTAGTAAGAAAGCGAAGTATCATGTCCAAAAATGTGGAACTGTTCCTTTAAAAACTTGATAATCAAAGTTAAATTGTTTATTTTTTGTTTTTTTGCAGCACGTTAATATGATTCAGTCTGTTACATTTTCTTGTGATCTTTGTATCAATGCCATTATTTTGCTGTTCAAGCTAATTACTGCAATGCATTTGTGTGATTTCACAAAGTTGAGTAAAAAGGCAAAACAAAGCAATCTGTTAAAAACACAAATGTAAAAATATATGTTTAGTAAATCCCAAACACTGATTATGGTATTGACTTTTTTTTAAATGTTCTTATTTCTTCTTTTTATAATACAACTGAAGCTCATCTCCTCTGTTTGGTGTTGTGAGGCTTTGAGGTTCACTGTGACCTGTTAGTTGCTAGTTTATCGTCTTTTTTCAGCTTAAAAACAACTTTATACATTATTAGGCAAAAGATATATTAAAAATATCTTTTGGTGGTTTATGACAATTCAATGACCAAACATACAGACATTAAATGAAACTCTGGAAAAAAATGTTATATATGGGAAAATGTTTAATAAATGTTTTGTTTTCTGAAAATGATTTGAGCAGAGCTGAGGTGCTTAACAACACAATCACAATACTGTACATTTTAAATCCATGTAATACAATATAAATGGTTTGAGATGCATGGCTGAATATTGCTTTTTTTCTGAACATTGCTTCTGCAGACGTCAATTAAAATCAACTAAAATCACAAAGGACAGTTGATGTCAGTTGAAGCATTTGGCGACATTTTTCTGGTACGACCCCTAAAGTCTTGGTCCCAAATTTTCTATGCTATTTTCCTGCTCTCTTACACGGTATATTTAAACAGGGCTGGAGGATAAGCTTTCACAGTTATTAGGCATTGGATTGCTACCAGCTGTAGGGTCTCTCTTCTCTCTCTGGCATACGACTGATTGCTGATTTGCTTCATACCGAATCACATAAACGGCATATTCTGTAATACCGTTAACTGCTCACAGGTGACATAAAGGGATATCTATGTATTACATTAAGCTTATTTTAAAAAACTATTTATCTGATTTCTTGCAGGCAAAAAGTGTTGAAAAATCAATCCAGATAACATCCCAACTGGTGTGGTGACAATTCAAACTTTGTGCACGATTGTCCTTCAAAAAACAAGAACAAAGGCATCACTGCAGCAGAAAAACATGAAAAGGATAAAGCATCAAATAGATGTCCAGAACCTGTTTTCCACCGCATCTGTGACCTCTCAAGGGAAGCCAAGGTTTTTAAAATCAACCTGTGTGCTGGTGAAGGCATGCCCAGGAATATAAATGAGTGAACAGGCCAATGGGATTGCTTAAAGGCTACAGACCTCAAAACAATACCACTTTCTGATCGGGTCAGGTCAGAAATATGGTCAAGAGTGGAATAAATACTGTTTATTGATTATTTAGGTCAGTTTACTTTAGTAGTCATGACAAGAGGGAGGACATAATGATATAATGATAGTAAACAGTCCAGATGAATGGGTGAGAAGTCATACTACCAACAATAAATACTGTACCTATATCATAATCAATAAAATAAGCTCAAGGCAAACATGTAAAGACATAACTAAGAGTCTACAGCCATGCAAGCAACTCTGTGATGTCCTGTGGTGCATCAGCATAGTGGATTAAGGGTTATCTGTAAGAAGTAGAAGTTATGATGGGGTTCATTAAGAGAAGATAAGCAGAGAGGACAACAGACTTTGCCATCCCTGAAGCGTTGCTGCTGGCTTGTTTAAAAACAATAAACAATTACATTAAAATGTAACAAGGCTGTTGTGCTTACACTTCTTTCCCATAGGCCACAATTTACCCTGCTGTGGTGTTAATTATTTACTTTTTTTTAATTGTGCAAAGGTAACTTATTCCAGTTCCTGGCACCACACAACCTAAAAGAACCATGGTAACCACGATAGTTTTGAAGCTTGGCAAGCACCATGAATAACACTAGTTGTAGTGGGAATGAGTTTACCTAACCCAATGAAGGTGGTGTTCAAATTCTGCCAGTGTGTAACATTTAGGAGGATCTATTGGCAGAAATGAAATGTTTTCATTATTGTACAATCAACAAAAAATAAGAATGGCTGTGCTTTTGTTACCCTAGAATAAAGCGTTTATATCAAAAGACACTTTTGGTCACCTTCCGTGAAGTCTGCCACTTTCTACAGGAGCCCAGAAGGGACAAACCAAATACTGGTTCTAGATAGGGGCTGGTAGTGTTTTGCGGGCATTTCGCTACCACCGTTGTTTCTCCTTCACGGTTGGAGGGGAGGGAGGGTGAAGCAAGGGAGTTGCAATCTGCAACTACACTGCTAGGCTCACTAACTCATACACACTGGACCTTTAAGTACCACACTGAGTTATAGTTTCTACCCTTTGAAGGTAACCATACAAACTGTTGGAAGCCCAACTAGCTTACTGACTAACTTACATAAAATAAAATGTCCTATAATACATTTATTTTATTTTTTAACATTTATTTATTTATTTCATTTTTTCAGGGTTAATACACATTGATAAACATCACTGTAAAGGAGCCAGTGTTAGCCAAAATGCTAGTATTCAGAAGTTGTCCCTTGGTCAGATGTTAAATTAGCCATTAAAACAGCTAATCATTTACTATCATTATTTAAGTCATTGTTTTCATGGAGCTGTATCGCTGCCTTCTAGTCTTTTCTCCTGCTTTAGTTTGGCCAGCCTGAAGTCTTCTCTCACTTGACTCAGCAGAGCAGGGCAGCACACTACATCCACAGCTGTCATAGCCAGGGCTTTGGCTGTCCTCAGGGTGAACAACTGGGCCTTTTCAGCTCCTGGCACAGGAAAAAGAGCGGAGGAGGAGCATCAAGTAGAAAGAAACTAAACAGACAAGTCAAGTGACCTGGAAAGAGACGAAGGCTGAAATAGTCTGATTACAGTGCAATTCACTTTCATTAGAAGAAACAACATTGGTTCTCAATAGCCATGTGTTGCCGTACCTGCTGCTTCAGTGTATTCCTCAGTGTGGTTAAATGCGTCGCTGCCGATGTAGAAGAAAGGATGGATACCAGGGACTACGAATGATACGTTGCCAAAGTCTGTAGAACCTGCCAGATAATTATAAAATCACTGTGATAATGATTCTTTGTTGATTCAGTGAACAACAAATAAGACAATCTGTGAAGAAAAAAAACAACAATTCCCAATTCTACTGTTACATTATTTTACATTTCTCCTGCAGAAACCAGAGAAAGACTGAGATAATAATATCTGTTTTCTATGAAAGGTTTATTTTCACCTACCAGAGAAGTTGGCTGGCTGCTCTGGAAACTGAATCCCCAAAGCTTTTCCATTATTTTCATACAGGTTTGCCAGTGTGGCATTATGCAGAATGTTATAGTAGGCATGGGACGGGTAGCTTATCTCCACCTAAAAGAAACACAAGTATCCCCTCATTCATATAATGTACTGGCATAAAATGTAAGATCACAACACAGACAGCCCAAAGCTGTACAGCTCTGCAATGTGAGTTAAACCTGCCTGAAGCAAGTGCAGATGTAGGAGAAAAACAGCCTCAAGATAACAGTGAATTATGTAACAGTTATACAGCACTGAAAGCATAATTACAGGCATATGTTAGAAAGGGCGATGTTATATAACAGAAAAGTCAACATTAGGGATATAATGTGTGTCCAGCCGAGAGGGAAGCAAATGGAAGACAACATTTTATAGGTAATCTTACTTACTTGGCAGCCGGTGGCGACAGCAGCTGCCCTGAAGCAAGCCTCAGCTTTGGCCTTCAGGTCACACAGATCCTTAACCAGCGGCGTCCGCATATAAAACTCTAACTCGGTGTAGGCAGGGATAATGTTGGGCTTCACCCCTCCATGTTTAATGATGCCTGTAGAGGAGAAAAAGAACACAATGTGCACAGTGGAGGAGGAGAAGAAGGGATGGATCCATAAGGCTGAGTAAATATGCAATGCGTATGGATTTAGATGTCAAGATTGTGTGTTATTTATGATTAAAAACATCCTTCTACATTTCAAAAGGCAGATGAAATGTTACAGATACTTGAAAAAACTGCCTGACAAATTTACGTTGCAAGTCCATCAAAAATAAAACACATTGCACAACTCTTCTCCAGTACATTATGCTTTATTCACCAAAGATTTTGAGCTATCTTGCCTTCAGGTAGGTGTCTGAGGTTCATCTGGTTTCCTTATATACAGACCACTCATCGGTCATGTGACTGATGAATCACTACAGATACCAAGTATGAAAAACAAGATCATCTTTTCTTAAGAAATACTATTTATAAAGTATGTCATCTCTCTCTCTCTTCACATTTTTGGGACATTTTAAACCTTTATTCGAGAGTTGTCAGGAGACGGGGAACAATATTCAACAAAGGTCCTCAGCTGGACTCAAAGTGGGGACATTCAACCCCCAACACACACATCGCTCAACTAAATGTATAATTTTACCAATGTTTTATAATATTCTTAATCCTGAGAAGAGTTGTGCGACATGTTTTAAGTTTGTTGGACACATATTTTTGATCATAAGATGTGGCTACTTGAGGAACTAGTGATAATTAGGGCTGTGACTAACAATTATTTTCATTATTGATTATGTCTATGAAATGTAACAAAATAGTGAAAAAGGGTATTCTCAGTCTCTCACAGTCCACAGTGATGTCCTCAGTTAGCTTGGACCAACGGTCTAAAACCTTTAGATAAATTTGATATACTCTCATGGATGTTTAAATTTAAATTTTTCCGAGCACATCAAGGACTCCTCGTTCATGTCAGCTTGAAAGTAAATGGACTTTGAGGCGAGATTGTCCTGAATGGACTTTGAAGCCCAGTTTCTGCCTGTTGCTCACCGTGCAGCCTCCACTCTGGTCTGAGTTGCTGTCTGAGTGCAGAGAGGTTGTTATAGGACAGCACGGCAGCATCCAGGGCATTCACTCCCTCCCAGGGGTACGCAGCAGCATGAGATGCCTTCCCGTGGTACTTCACTGACACCCTGTGTAACATCAGCATAGTGGATTAAGGGTTATCTGTAATAAGTAGAAGTTATGAGGGGGTTCATTAAGAGAAGATAAGCAGAGAGGACCCGGAGAACAAGTTGTGAATACATATATGATGGGAACAGGAACTCACTCATCGAGTGCGACGCAGGGCAGGAATGAAGCATCTTGCTGAGCTGGGTGAGCCATGAAGACAAGATCGATGTCAGCGAAGGCCCCGGCCTCGATCAGGTCGATCTTTCCTCCCATCTCCTCCTCAGCAGGAGTTCCCACAACAGTTATCTGGTATGAAAAGAGTTAAACTCAAGTCATCTGACATCAGCTCGTATGTCAGTCCTGACCGGGGAAATAAGTAGGCTACGCTGTTTTGGCTTAAAGGTGAAAGTTCTTTGGACTTTGGGAACAGTGGTTTTAACTCAAAGTCCACTTACTAGCTTTTTATAGCGATTTCAACAACATTAATTTTCCTTCTTGTGTTCTTGATCATAACCAAAGGTGGCCATCTTTAAACAGACAGAGTTACACATCTGTCCCTTCCCATATAGAACCACCTGACTGAAGTTCCATGACAACTGAGGAAGACTGCAAGATGCAGCTGAAAGCTCCAGAATAAGATTTCTAAGTCACCCTCTAGAGATTTTTGCTTTTTTTCAAAATTAAAAACTATATATTTATTTATTTTTCTTTGCCAAACCGTCTGTGAACATCTGTAGCCTCGTGTTTTTTTACACATCGTGCCTCCATAATTTGATTAACTATTTGGAAGTACAATAAAAATATATTGTAGCCAACCAAAATAGGTTTTAAACACATTTCAACACAATACATGCCTTAGTTTAAATTCAAAATATCATTATTAGTAGTAGCATATTATGCTAAATATAATTATGTAAAAGTATGGAAGTGCAAGTGTTGATTGTTTGTTGACTCACAGGGCTTTCCCTTTATTGGGGATGTTAAAACAAGATGCATCACATTGTTCTTATCGGGTTATTTATGTGTGTAATGTCATAGGCCTACACAATAACATACATTTCCTTTATTTTATAGGTTACCAAATAAAAACTGAAGGCACACACAGGTGAGGTGACCAAAGGTGCTGTGTGACTTTATTCTTAGACAAATCTACAGTCCCTTGTTACCTTCACCGGTACAGGGAGCTGGGTCTGGGTTTCTAAAGCAGCCTTCAGCCCCAGAGCGGCGGCGGCTCCCACCTCCGCTATCAGGTTGTGCCCGCACGCGTGCCCGATACCCGGCAGCGCGTCGTACTCGCACAGAAACCCCACGTTCAGACCCGGGTCACCCTCCCCGCCACCGACCGGACCCCAGCTGGCCCGGAATGCGGTCGGTAGCTTGTACTGCCTTTCCACCGTCCATGCCTGCTCCCGAGAGAAGAAGCGGACCAGCCTGTCGTGCGCATGCGTCTCGTTGCCTGCGAGCTCAGGTCGGCTCCAGATGTCTCGACTCAAACTGTACAGCTCGTCTTTCCGTGCGTCTATACCCAGCTGGAGGGCGTCTTTCATCCCCTGTCGTGTCTCCATGTGTATCTGCAGGTGTGCGAAGATCTTTACAACATGAATTTGGGGTCCTCGCGAAATTTTAAAGCTTTCAGAAGCACCATGAAGTGGGCGGAGCCGCCGCTTTTTATGCCGGAAGTAGTTTTATTCTGGTATTCCTAACTCAACATGCACACAGTTACCAGTTTGTTTGTGACACCTCCAGAGCTGCTAATGCAGTACATCAGTCCTGCAGTCAGTCCTACTTTCATACAGTGTTCAGATCCTGTAAGTAAAAGTACTAATATTACACTGAAAATACTGCACTACAAGAAAGAGTCCTGTATTCAAAGTCTGAAAGTAAAAGTATTATCAACAAAAGTAAGTCTACTAGTATTATACAGAAAATGTCAGTGTTTTACAATTATGCTGTTACTACTGCATTAAGTGTTTGTTGCACTTTACTGATTGAACAACGCCTTGATCTCAGTCCTCCTTTATTTATAACTATAAATAAAGTATTTCTGATTCTGAATAAATGGAATATGCATTATAAAATGACCTTTTCTTTTTTTTCTACAACATAGGCCATGACAGGCCTGACAAAACCAGTATTGCAACAGATGGAGACCACTCCGATGGCTGCACTGACCTTTTAATCATAGTAGTGATCTGCTACTGTTCTCCTGGTTCTGCTTTCATTAAACTAAAAATAGCACCCGGTTTTTAAGATAGACAGTGATTGGTGCTGCAGTATTATTACATTTTGGGGCTTATACAAAAAATATGTCAATGCAACACTGCTTTCCTCTTCTTTACTGCATTATTGTGAAAATTATGCAAATGAGAAATAGGGGAAAAGTATGTTAACTTTCCCTTTCATTAGCATCAGACTCCAAATGACTCTCTCTGAAGCTGGATCGCCATCTGCTGGCCAGAATCACACTCTTTTTTTTTTCTTTTTCACACTGTTTTAAAGATTTGTGTACTATGACACAGCTTCCATCCAACATTGACTGCTATTTAATTTAAATCTGAAACTTAAGATAATGTGCCAGTTCATAACATTGCAAAGCTCCAGATACATAATTCTAAACAAACCCATGCACATTTCTGCATGTTAGTCATATGCATGTATGAAAATGAGGCTTCTCCACTGTGATTTACTTTTATCAAGATAAAACCTTTCTGTAAGGCCTTTGTGTTGCGCTGTATTGAATGGCATTAAATGGTGGCTGGGACTAAAATCTTTCACCCATCCGTCTGTTACCACACTAGAGGGACCCAGAGTGACACAATTTGGTAAAGGGCTCCTTTTTCATATGGTTCTGCATCCATTATATCTAAATCAGTATTCTGCTGCGTTGCATGTTTTACCTTGAACAATTCAGTGAACTGAGAATGAATAGGGAAAAAAGCCTTTAGGAATAAAACCTTGACAATTATCTAGAGGATATATTATTTATTTATTTATGAATTGCCTGTAGCTACTCAGATGACTGTACACATACAGCAAGCAGACAATGCCTTCCCTTGAAGTGGGATCTGGCCCCATAAAAACAAGGTCAATTAGCGCTGAATGAATAAAGACAAAGCTCCACAGCTGTCACAAACCCAGCGAGTGTGTGTTTGTGTGTGTGTGTGTGTGTGTGTGTGTGTGTGTCTGAGTGTGTCTGATTGAGAGAGAGCAGGTGTACATGTGCATGTGTTTTTCTGTAAGTATTTGAGTTGTAGGTTAATTGGGGGCGGTTGTCAGTCACAAGAGGAGACATGTTGAACAGCGCTCAGCAAGCTGACACTAAGACTGCCTCCTGACATGGCCTGTCTGTCAGCTTACTTTACGCCCCACTGACACGTTGACACTCTCCATTGTGTATCAATTAAATGACATTGAAGGGAGGCATCCATGTGTCACTCCATTGTCTTATTCAGGGATTTGCCCTGTGAGCATGTGTTTAATTTCACATGGTTCCGCATGTTTTTGGCCTTGCATATTGCTTCCGTAAATTAAGAGTTTTTTGTGTGAATGTTGGTTCAAGACTGTTACAATTTATTATAAGATGATCTTTTTAAATAGTACATCACACTGAAACTTTTATTTAATGAAGGTGTTGGTGATAAAACCCACATCAGCTCAGAGAAGGAAGAAATATAACAGCACTAGAGGCAAATGTAAAAGCGATTGCATCCACTGAGCGATGCAACAAATAAAACCTCTGTCCACCCCCATGACACACGAGCACAGAAACCATACGTTAACAAGCACTCAATAGATTGCATAGATATTTTAGGTTGAGCCAGTAGTCATCACACCAAGCTGGAGTGATGTATGACTTATGATATATGCAAGCAGGCGTCACAACAGCAGGACGCCCCGGAGGAAGGCTGGCTTGACAGCTACGACGAATTGATGTGCTCCTGATGACAGCATGTTTCTGAAATGGGAGATGAAACAAACAACTGTCTTTGCTTGGGTGTGTGTGTGTGTGTGTGTGTGTGTGTGTGTGTGTGTGTGTGTTTGTGTGTCTGTGGGCACAGGAATAGTATGTGGTCCACATATTAATGTTTTTGTGCCTCTACTCCAGCTTGGAAGCCCATATCCACCATGAAAAAAGGTGACTTACAATTTTGAGACTGGGTTTTTCAGTGTTGTTCAGTTTGAAAAATCAATCAGTTTTCTGATGTGACAACGCTATGGTTAAGGTGTGTTTGGTATAGGCACAAAAATGACTAGATTTAGGAAAAAAATCAAGGTTTTAGTTTTAAAAAAAAAATCTTCATGCAACTCTGCTTCACTGGCTGCATTATTTAGTTAAACATTTTTTAGAAGCCAGTAAAAGAGCAAACATTAAAGATAAAAATTTGTAGCAATTTTGTAGCAGAAATATGTTTTTTCTGGTTAACTGGTTAATCATCTTGCGGCCCCTTATGGTGGTCCCAGGTTGAGAACAACAGTTGTATCCAATTCACTACAATTATATCATAGCTAACCATTTTGCAAACCACACTGCTGTGTTTTAGAAAATGTAATGTATTTCTTTTACAGTTGTCTCTTAAAATTATATCATGTTATAACACAATTTTGACTTTCTATCTCACAGTCTTGGCTTAGTAAGTCAAAACTGTTGACATACTCATTTTACAGCATTTTTTTATGACTAACTTTTAATCTGTTTTTTCTGGCACAAATGGGCTTCCATACTAACCTCCACTCTACCAGTTCATTTTCTCTCCAGCAGACAAATATGAACCCCGACAAGTTGTCGATGAGCCTGATTTTTAAACATGAGGTTCCAGCTGACTGAAAGAAACTGACAATGTGTCAGTCGTGCTTGCTCTGTCCTGTCAGCATTGCTATCAAACAAAACGCACCCTTCGACGAGACCCCCGGAAATCCAGCCAGCAATGTTCAATATCGCACAGCAAGCTGCTTGGTAGCTGTAAAATATCACCCGCAGGCCTCAGAAATGTGAGTGTGCATGTGTGGGTGCATGTGTAACTTGACAGTCCTGTTTCTGTCATTAATGTCACATCAGTGCACACAGTGTGCTTCTGCGTTCTCCAAGCTGGAATACATTAACACCTCGGTTTATCAAGTCATCCTGTATTTTCTGGGGGTGGAATGGGGGTGGGATTACACTGTACAACATTTGTTCTTGTTTTTATGATGGTTTATGATGGAACATAGCTTCATCTGGTCTCTAAATAATGTAAACCCTCATGCATGTGAATTATTTTAAATAGGGGCTTCTTGAGAGCCATAATCCACATTTTCATATAAATTATTCCCTATTCTGATGCTTTGTTTCACTGATTGAAATTATACAGTTTATTACTGCTCCAACTCATTTCCAGTCAATGAAAGCTTTTACGCTTTCTGTTCCTAACACCCCCTTAAGAAAAAAAAACCCTCTGGTGGCACACTTTCTCATCTCGGGTTGCAACAGACATTAAGTGATTTGTCAGTAATGGACAGAAGAAAAACATGATAGTCTGCACTGGTATGAAAAGCCATTATAGCTGTGCAAAAAAAGTAAGGAGCACAAAATAGAATTTTGGATTAGATAAAAAGAGATGACAGTGCTATCCACATCACAGAGTAAAGTACAAAATGTCTCACCGAAATATAGAACCTAGATTGCTGTTTGAAAATTTTTCCTGTCTTCGGGTTGGATCATATATTTTCTTGTCTGTCCACACAGCTGCCCTCGCTGCTTCAGAGGTAGCCCTGCCGAAGTGGTGCCCTTTCTTTGTTTGACAGTGCTGAAAAGGCTGCTGTCTGACTCAATAACATCAGCCTTTGTGGGCAGTGTGTTGAACAGTGGGAGTACAAGTTGTCCTTCGAACCACAGAGGAGCCACAATCAGCAGGGTGTGTGCAAAGTGGAGCTGAAGTGCAGATTTGAAAATGCTATCTTACTGAGTTGTTGTGCTGGATGGTCTTTTATAATAACAACAGGTAAATCAGTGCATGATAACAAAAGGTCATCCCTCGCACACATTACACCGACTGTTCACCAACAATAATTAAGCTGATTCATCTATTTATAAAAGTTTTAATTTCTTTTACACTTCTCTACATTGGTAAGTAAGAGGAAGCAGTATAAAGGAGCAGAGTTGTGGAAAACCATTGTGGAGCCCAGACACAGTCGGCACATTGATTGTGCAAAACATACCACAACAGCTTAGCTGGGTTTTCATATGACCCACATGTATTGCATTTGAGAGGCTGATACTCTCCTTGGTACACTGGAAGCTTAATTTGTAGTCTTCAACATTTTCTCTGTGTGTTCCTGTGGGGCAGGATTAATTTCAGTTTTCTGCTCCACAGGAGGGAAGAAGCACCTCCCTCTCTTCTCTTCAGAGGATCCCCGGCTCTGATAATTGCCACGAGCAGAAACTGTTTAAATAAAACATAGACTGTGGTGATGCCAGGCGACTGAGGGGCCAAAAGTGTGCAGGGATGACGGAGAGATCAAGTAGGTATCAGTGTTTCTCTCTTACAGTGAATGCCTGAGACAACACAAGAAAAATGTCAGTTTTTTTCCAACCATTAGAAAGGGGCAGGGGGGGGGAAACTGCTGTGTCAGAATAGCAGACCTGCCCACATACTGGGTTTGACAGTCTTTGTGAAGCAAAACACAAGGGGGGCTGCTGCTGATTAGATACAGGCAGATAAAGAGGAGCCTGCAGTTTAACAAGAATGAACAAGACTGAAAGTACAATTTTGTTTTAAATAAAATAAATACACCACTGTTACTCTTACCATGATCAAATGTATTTTTAAAAAAGCCTTTAAATCAAGTTCATTTCTAATATTTATCACAGGAATAACATTACACTGATTGTTTATTATTCTCTACAGAGTAACAAGACTGCAGCCATGCTACAAAGAGGCTACTGAGGCACAGTGGTGCTTTGAGCTAATGCTAATGTCAACAGGCTAAAATGTCTTACTGCTGATGTTTAGCAGTTATGTTCACCGTTTTAATCTAGCATACTAACATGTGCTAATTAGCACTGAACACAAACATACAGCTGATGTCTTGTGGGTATCAGACAAATTGAAATTAAGACCTTATGATGGGGCTATAGGAAGATCACCATTTATAATAATTCATACTGAGCAGGACGTGTGTACAATATTTATTGGCAATCCTTCCAAATAGTTCTCATAGTCCTCATGGTAGCACCAGAGGAAAACTCCAAAGAAACTCCACCAAAGTAATTAGGATCTATCCTCTGGGCACCACAAATGTCTGTACAAAATTTCATGGCAATCCATCAAATTGATATTGAAATGTTTAGAAAATATCTTGACCAAAGTAATGGATGGACAGACAGCTTAGAAAGAGAAAATAATAATCATAAAATAATAATTCAGCTGTTGATTACAGAATTTCTGAAAGGCAGGTGGAAAAAAAAGAAAAAATAGGTAAGTTTAAATTCCTTCACTTTTTTCTTCTTTTTACTAATTTTGGCCACAAGAGGTGGGAGAGAGAGAAAAAAAGTAACCTCTCAGGGCCTCCGTACTTGCTTATTTCAAAGAAAATATTAAATTCACAGCGTTTTTGGTGCGTTCATTTTATATGTAAATACCATAATTTTCACAGAATACATAACCTATATTTCACCTTCGAATGATAATGCATTCCTCTGTGTGTGAGTGTGTGACTCTCCCTGTCATTCCCTCTCTTCACATTCTCGTGCCAGCCAACATGTCAGAGAGAAAGCTTGAGTGTTAATTG